GATTGTTGTTGGGGGCAATATGCTGACTCTGTAAACCGCTTAGAGAGGGCTGAAAGCCCTATGAAGCGGTATATAAGTCTAACTGCTATTTCTTGCTTCCAGGCTACCGACATGTATACCTAGAAGGTATGGAGGAAGCTTCCGTCTTCGTTCACGTAGCTGTCAACGACGTTTGTGGTAAGGTGAGTAGCTCCGTGAGCCCCAGGTGTGTGCAACCCTCCCTAGAACTAAGATTCTCTTCCAGATGTGATGGTTGGCTTGTCCTTACGGAAGGAAGAACCAACAGTGCCCAATTTCACTGATCCACCTAATTTTATGTCTGTGGAGATTCTACAACATCTACCATGTGTGCACTGCTGATTGCCGCAACAGCTGATCGTCCGAACCGGTAGCAATTTTTTTTAAACGTTCCGACGATCAGCTGTTATCGCGCAGCACAGCTGATCATTGGAACGTTAAAAAAAAATGCTACCGGTTCGGACGATCAGCTGTTGCGACAATCAGCAGCGCGCCCCCTTGCAAAGCACACATTGGAGGCACATGCATGCACAGAGCGAAACCGGTAGCAGGTTTCAGAGCACCAGCTATGCATTCTTGCGCGGAGTCTTCCCCCAAAATATAGGCAAGTGCAAGAGAACCAGCTCAGGTTTTGAAAGCAAAAACGAAAAGCCAGAGAAATTTCAGAAAAGTGGATTTTTGCCGTTGAGGGCGGGGAGGAGAGAATAAAACTGAATAAAATTCAATTGATTGAATTGCCAGGTTTGCCAACTTACCTTCCCTACCAGTCTGCAAATGTGTGTGGCATCAACGATGCGCTGTATTTTAAAAAATGTCCCCTTTCTAAAGGCCGAACCGGTAGCATTTCACCCCTAATTCATAGGTTTTCTTGTGCCTGCCCCCCCCCCCCCCTAAATATAGGCTTTTTCATTTGCGCAGTGCCCGTTGGATGGAATTTTTCAGACTCGGGCAGCCCAATTATCTCCACCAAGTACATAGAACTAGTGCATCCATCACGCGGTGTGTGTTTGTGTTACTTTTTTAATCTATTAATCACAATTTGCCGAGCCAAATGAGAGGAAAATAAATAGTGTCTTAGCCGAAGGAACTCCGTTGGTGGGGGTGGAGGGGGCAAATTGCCAAAATACATAAAACGCGGACAGAGGAAAAAGCAGAAATATCTATGTATTCTCTGCAAAGGTGAAGCTGGTCAGTTTGCAAACCAGTTTAAGACTGGGACAGCCACCCGTTTCAAAAAATAAGAAATAAGGGAAAAAAAGTCCATCTTCTCACCCATAAATATTCTATGATGTATCTAGAGATGGGTTTACACATTGAAGCAAACTCCTGGTCCCGACAAAACCCCTTTTATTAATTTGCTGTGAATTCTGATCATTCACATCCAGCAAAGTCTTTCAAGGGAGGATTTACGGTCACAGACCTCATCTGGCTTGGAGAGCTGCCAGGCTGATAGCTGCAAAACTTGGCCAGGTGTCTCGGAGAGTCACGAACCAATGAAGCGAACTAATGGTCTCCTGCAAACTCCACTCCCCTTTCGCTCCTCTTTTCTTTCCTTGGGAGGGGGGGATTTATCATCCACCAGTGGCCTTACTCGCAAGTCAACTCCTATTCTTTAGCTGTTCCCTTCCCCTGGCCACTCTGCGCATGCGCACACTGGGAACAGGCTCCAGCTGTTCTTCTGCCTCACTGATGTCTGACTCTGGAGGAAGATGATAACTGTCAGACGGCCCTGGCCCCCCCTCTGCCTCCAACACCTTCCCCAGACTCCAGGACTGGCCCATCTTCCTCCTCATTGTCCAAATCTGCTGCCAGCTCCATTGGCCACTGGCAGGCCACAACCTGTGTTATGGAATTCTTTTAGGATTGCATTGAGTTTTGTTTTGTTTTTTAAATCTGGTTTATTGGCACTTTTAATCAAGTTTTAGTTCGGTCAGACTTCTCAGCCAAGGTAGGGAAACCAAGCCCTGTGTCGTGGCGTGCCAATTTCCCTTCTCAGCCGCCCCAGATGGCCCCCATGGAAAGCCAAAAAAAAAGAACACCGTAAAGGGGGGGGGGAAACGTCCTGAAGAGAACAAGAGAGACTCTGTCTGGATTTCAAGTTAGCCCGTGGCATTCCAGGTGCTAGTGAATCCTTTTCTCTCTCTCTGTCTCTCGTTCTCTCTTTTTCTCTTTCTCTTTCCCTCTCTTTCTCTCCGTCTCTCTTTTCTCTTTCTCTGTCTTTTTTCTCTCTCTGTTTCTCTCTTTCTCTCTTTTTCTTTCTGTCTCCCTTTTCTCTCTCTCTTCTCTCTGTCTCTCTCTCTTTCTCTCTCGTTCTTTCTGTCTCTCTCCCTCTCTTGTTCTCTCTCTGTGTCTCTCTGTCTTTTTTCTGTCTGTTTCTGTCTCTCTGTCTCTCGCTTGTTCTCTCTCTGTCTCTGTCTCTCTCATTCTCTCTCTCTCTCTCCCTTTCTCTCTCTCTGTCTCTCTCTCATTCTCCCTCTGTCTCTCGTTCTCTCTCTGTCTCTTTCTCTCTGTCTCTCTCTCTCTCTTTCTGTCTCTCTCATTCTCTCTGTCTCTTGTTCTCTCTCTGTCTCTCTCTGTCTTTTTTTCTCTGTCTCTTGTTCTCTCTGTGTGTCTCTGTCTCTATCTCTTTCTCTCTCTGTCTCTGTCTTTTTCTCTCTCTCTCTGTCTCGTTCGCTCTCTCTCTCTGTCTCTCTCTCTTTGTCTTTTTCTCTCTGTGTGTCTCTCTCTTTGTCTCTCTCTCTTTCTGTCTCTCTCTCTTGTTCTCTCTGTCTCTCGTTCTCTCCCTGTCTCTCTCTGTCTTATTTTCTCTGTCTCATTCTCTCTCTGTGTCTGTCTCTTTTTCTATCTCATTCTCTCTCTCTGTCTCTTGTCTTTTTCTCTCTCTCTCTCTCTGTCTTGTTCGCTCTCTTTCTCTGTTTCTGTCTCTTTTCTCTCTCTGTCTCTCTCGTTCTCGCTCTCTCTGTCTCTGTCTCGTTCGCACTCTTTCTCTGTCTCTCTCTCTTTGTCTCTTTTCTCTCTCTGTCTCTCTCTCTCTCTCTCTCTCTCTCTCTCTCTCTCTCGTTCTCCCTCTTTCTCGCTCTCTGTCTCTCTGTGTCTTTTTTTCTCTCTCTCTCTCTCTCTGTCTCTATCTATTTATCTATCTATTGGGAAAAAAACTGGCAAGCAGGCAGCCTGCTCTTTTCCCAACAAGGAGGGGAGAAGTTAAGTATGTTAAGCTCATGCCCCCACCCCACCCCGTTTCCCTCTCTTTTCTTTTCTTTTCCCTTTCCTTTCTTTTCTCCTCCGGGTTTGCCAAAAGGGAGACTTGGGGGAAAGCCAGCTGGGTTGTTTCACAGCCTCCCGACAAAAAGAGGCCTCTTGTTCAGAAAATCCTCCGTTTCTAATCCCACTCGGCCTTCAATGAAGTTACAGCTTCCCGCAGGCGTCCTCTTCTTCTTCTTCTTCTCCCTTTTCTTCCTTTCTTCTTCTCTCCTTCCAACATCCACCAGGGAAAGTTCGGGCCGATGGAGGGAGGGAGGGATGGGATGACGCCCAGCCCCGTAATTCCTTGCCGTCTGGCACCGGATCGGCCATCGCTACTCCAAATGGGGGTTAGGTATCTACGCAGGGGTGGGGGAGGCCCCCTTTCATCCTACAGTTGGGGGATTTTGTCAAAAAAAGAGGTTCCTCCAAGGGGATGGATGGATGGTCAGGAGTCGGTGAGATCCCGTGGCTCTTAGTAAACTGAAGGAGGAAGGAAACAAGGGAGAAATTTCCTTTTCCCCCACCCTTTCTCTGCCTCTCTCCCTCCTCTCCTCTCTCTCTCCCCCTCTCACCCACTCTCCATCTCTCCCTCTTCTTCTCCCTTTCCCTCTCTCTCTCCCTCTCTCTCCCACTCTTTCTCCCTCCTCTCTCTCTCTTCCCTCTCCCTCTCCCTTTCTCTCCCTCCTCTTTTCTCTCTCCCCCCCTCTCACCCACTCTCCATCTCTCCCTCTTCTTCTCCCTTTCCCTCTCTCTCTCACCCTCTCTCTCCCACTCTTTCTCCCTCCTCTCTCTTTCTTCCCTCTCCCTCTCCCTTTCTCTCCATCTTCTCTCTCTCTCCCCCTCTCACCCACTGTCTGTCTTTCGCTGTTCTTCTGTCTCCTTCTCCCTCTCCCTTTTTCTCCTTCTCCCCCTCTCACCCCCTCTCCATCTCTCCGTCTTCTTCTCCCTTTCTCTCTTTCTCCCTCCTCCCACTCTTTCTCTCTCATCTCTCTCTCTCTCCCTTCCCTCTCCATCTCTCCTCTCTCTCCCTCTCCCTTTCACTCCCTCTTCTTCTCCCTCTCTCCTTCCTCTCTCCCTCTCTCCCCCTGTCCATCTTTTCCTGTTCTTCTCCCCCCAACTTTCTCTCTCTCCCTCTTCTTCTCCCCCTCTCTCACCCCCTCTCCATCTTACCCTCTTCTTCTCCCTTTCCCTTTCTCTCTCTCTCCCTCTTTCTCCCACTCTTTCTCCCTCCTCTCTCTTTCTCCCTCTCCCTTTCTTCCTCTCCCTCCTCTTCTCTCTCTCCTCACTCTCTCCATCTCTTCCTCTCCCTTTCTCTCCCTCTCTCCCCCTGTCCATCTTTCCCTGTTCTTCTCCCTTTCCCTTTCTCTCTCTCTCCCTCTCTCTCCCCCTCTCACCCCCTCTCCATCTCTCCATCTTCTTCTCCCTTTCTCTCTCTCTCCCTCCTCCCACTCTTTCTCTCTCCTCTCTCTCTCTCTCCCTTCCCTCTCCATCTCTCCTCTCTCTCCCTCTCCCTTTCTCTCCCTCTTCTTCTCTCTTTTCTTCCTCTTTCCATCTCTCCTCCCTTTCTCTCCCTCTGTCCCCTGTCCGTCTTTTCCTGTTCTTCTCCCCCCAACTTTCTCTCTCTCCCCCTTCCTCTCCCCCTCTCTCACCCCCTCTCCATCTTACCCTCTTCTTCTCCCTTTCCCTTTCTCTCTCTCCCTCTTTCTCCCACTCTTTCTCCCTCCTCTCTCTCTTCCCTCTCTCTTTCTCTCTCTCCCTCTCCCTTTCTTTCTCTCCATCCTCTTTTCTCTCTCTCCTCCCTCTCTCTTTCTCTCCCTCTCTTTCTCTCCCTCTCCCTAAAGCACAGCGTCTAAGCATTGTGCCTTTTTTATATTAAAAAATAAAAGCTCCAGAAAGTGAATTTTGTCAGTGTTAAATAAGC